ATCGCCTGCGTTGCAGTGCAGTGCTGCCATTTCAGGCGTTTCCTTGCCGTGCGTTTGCTGTCTCACTCGCCATTGGCGCCCGTAATCCGTCGTCAATTCCAGAATCAACATCTGTGCCGTAGTCTTCGTTGTGTTGGATAAGTAAGAATGTGGGTGAAAAGATTTTGCTTGTTGGATGTCATTGATGAATGATTGCTTTATTTTTGTCGCTAGCATCACTGATCGATGTGATCGCATGCGCATGATTCCTCTGCAATCGACTACATTATTATGGATGTGGTGGAAATCAAGAATAAATAAGTAAATTCCTCAGAAAAACACCTCTTTTTGTATTTTTTTTCTATTGATTTCTCCCTTCACAGAAACACCATTTTGTCTATAGTTTGAGGGGGGATTTTAATATTATTGAAAAAAATGAAATTAATTACTTAATTTTACTGACAAATTGAGCTTAAATTACTAGTGGAGTTTATTATATATAAATAAATAAATAAATTCCTTATAAACATTGTTTTGTTTGTAGTTTGAGGGGGATTTTAATATTACAAATAGTTAATTTTATGGACAAATTGAGAATAAATTACTTGTGGTGTTTATTAGAAAAAAAAACTCAATTAAAGGAATCATAATTAAGAAGTAGTTGATAATGTTTCTGATGCCCTATTAACATAAGATTTCAGGTTTTATTGGATGAAGAGTTGTATTACTGATGAATTAATTAATGCCCATCTGGTTATTATTATTGAAGTTGAATTAATATTTTCCTACCTAAATTTGTTTTTTTTTATTTTTATCATATTGAATAGTTAGTTCTAATTTCAATGTCATATCTTGCTTACTTCAATGAAGCATCCCAGCAATCACAATCTTTAATTGCATCTCTATTTCTCATGCTTAATTGCATTAATACAAGTATAAGAATCATGGAGAAAAAGGACATGATAACTGTTTTTTGCACATCTATTGAAACCTAATAATTATGAGAATGGACAGTACCTAACCATCATCATAATTTAACTTGTATGGTAAATCTTACTCTTATTCTTATTTGCCTTTAGGTAACCTTTTTAGTGCAAATACATTTTGATGTCCATCTTCATCATTTTGGATTCATGCATCTACATTAATGATTGTTAAATAGAGCATTCCAATACTAGGGGAACCTAATCTCCCAAATAGTTAAGTATCCTTAATACCTACCAACAAAAAATTATTGAATCTAATAATGAATCCTAGAGAATCTTGCTCTAATGCATGTTGTCTTTAGCACATAATTAATTAATCATTTTGCTTGGAACAATGTATATGCATCATAAATGTGCTTGCCATTTTAGGAGCACTGAAATATATCACAGAATGGTATTATTTATGTACACAAGCAAACAAAAAAAAAATGTTCCCATCACTGAATGGATCATGTGAATATAAATACTACTTGGAACATTGTCTTTATCTTTGTAGTATGTGTCTACAAGATAAGATGAGATTGACACATGAGGAAGAATCAAGGATATAATTGATTTGTTCTTTTCTCCTAAGAACAACTCAGTAGTTTCTCTACAAGGAAACTTTACAACCACTTGCAACATATATATGTAAATCAACAAGTTGTATTGTCTCGACTATTTCGGGTAAGATATATAGATCATTTATCTGTATAAAACAATATCCGTAGTTAAATTAGAATATCTTAAACCTTTATTTATAAACTTTTAAATTCCTTTTCAGTCCGTATTCATCTCTTATAGTATCATTAATATTCTTTATCTTATCTCTTTGCACATGTCTATATCATCTTAAATAATTATTCCTCATTTTATCCTTCATAGGCTATATTTAATTATTCATGAATAAAAAATATATGATATATAATTAAATTTGCATGTCAAACCTAATCCACCTTGCATATAATGGAAGGATGTTATAAACTAAGTTAAGCTTTAAGATTATTGAGCATCCAATCGAGAATGTTCGTAAATCTATAGCTCTCTCTTTGAGTCGAACATATCGTCACGATGATATAGGACATCTCGATACGTACACATTTATTCTTCTCATTAGGATCATGTCCTTAGTACATGGTAAGGAATTGGTGTTGGTCACTTCCACCTTGTAGCCATTGCATGCGTTGGAGATCATATCTTTGATTGATTTTGACTTAAATGACATGGAAGTCATCACAAGTCATGGATAAACCCTAGAGAAATGTTCATGCGGATGAAGAGTGGTTGGCCCCATGAAAGCAAGGATTGATGGGAATGGAAGTTGAATTGCTCCGATACATCACCCTTCTCAAGAAGCGTGAAACAAAAGCCTCGGATATCCCACCAAGTAAACCAAGAATTGTATTTGGAGGTGCGAAAGTCCACCGTTTCACAACAGATCTAAAAAGAAGTGTACTGACAAAAGAGGTTTCTTTTGATTAGGCCACATTTGATCGAGACGGCAAATTAAGATCTTATTAGTGAGTTTTAGTTGGACCGATATTTGAAATTTTGATTGTAACATCCCATAATGATGAAAAAAAAAGAAGAATTAACGGAGAAAATAGTTTATATGATCAAACATTACTTGGAATGACTTTCTCATATGAATTTTTATGAAATAAACCTCAACATTAGTATAAATGCAAGGAAATTTATTTTTCTTCTCTCTTATGTTTGATTAAAAATATTTATATAATATGTATTCTTTATTTAGGTTTGCAATATATGGATGGAGTCATTTCCTGAGAGTACAGACTTTTAGAGCTATCGATCACTAAGATGCATATGGAGCGTGAATTGGTAGAGTGTGACTGGTGTCTCCATTCCATTCAACTCGAGCTTCACTCGGTGGCATTGAATCGGCCAACGCATGCATGCCATGCCGGAGGGTATTGAATCGGTGGCATTGATAGGGAAACATAACGAAGCCAACAGCCTTCTTCCACAGTCGGTAAAGACATGAAAAGGACGTCGCAGCGACAGCAGAGAGAAGAGAGGCAGCGAAGTCAAAGAGGCGAGCGTGGGCCTCGGGAGAGCCACATGTTCGTCGGACTCCGTCGACCAAGGAAGGGGATGAGAAGCGATGTGCACGTCGTGGCGGATGATGACGCCCCCAACCCTCCCCCCCCCCCCCCGCCCGGTGAAATGGATTCTACCTGGAGTCCAGCGATCGCTTCCTTCCTTCACTTGCTTCACTTTCCCCACCCTCCCTCATTACTTACTTCCCCATCAAGGAACATTCATTCTTGTCGCCGTCGGAAGGTCCATGACAAGAAGAGGGAGGGGGGACATGTCGCCCCACGCGTCGCTGAGGCCGTGACGTGTGGGCAGCTGCTGAGTCTGAACGCGGGAAGATAATTGATGTGGGGAGCGGCTGAGTCGCTCCTCGACTCGCCTCCTCTTCATCGATGCTTTGGGACGAGTTGTGGCCATGCTCTTGTCCTGTCATGACTCCAAGACGGAGGAGGAAGACGGAATGCAGGGAGGCTTAAAGGTTGCTCTTGTCCTGTTAGCAAAAAGGCATTACCTCACCCCAGCCGAGTCTCGTATCTTCTTGTCATAAAAGTCGTCATTTCATCGACGTACCAATGATCAAAGGTGAATCGATGAAACGTCGAGGGCTTAAAATCGATCTCATCTAATAAATTTAAGCATATAAATTGGTTAGATCGCAATGGATCCACTTTCCTTTTCATGGTTCATCATCGTTTAGCCATATATACCATTAATGCTATGACAGTCGTAGCTACTTGTCCTCTTGCAAGGCGTTGTCATCCTCCTCTTCAATGTCATCATCGAGTGCTGTTTCCATCAATATGATCAACCCATCATCAACACCAGCAGCGCCATGTTAAACTTTCTACTTCTCATATCCTACAGCCACAAAAAGCTTTCCCCTTCTCCATATCCTCCACCACCACCACCACATAAAGCACAGCAACCCACATTGATGACACCTTTAACCGTTCCATCTGACTTTTTCTTACGTGACCATCCTTTGCAGGTGTACCAAATATAGTTAATATATATCCCCAAACTCCTTACTCTTAACTATATTCAAAAATATATATATATCAGAACTTTCTTGTGACAACAAGTACAATCTCTCAATTTTTTTTTCATCCAAAGTACAATCTCTCAACCTTGTGATCACAACCGCGGCAAGAAGTCAACAGATGGATGAACAAAATATGTTAAGAGCCATCATTCGGCTGCCATGTTAGATCTGACATAAACAAGCATCAACCATCCAGTTTGGTCTCATCAAAATAAGAGTTTGGTCTGCACCAAAGAAAAACATAGATTTCGGTAAGAAAATGAGACAACAAAAGAATCCTGCTCACGAGTTTAACCAACTCCTGATGTTTACTCTTGGGACATATCAGTGAAATGTACTTTGATTTTTTTAACATACTGGACTCATTCACATATTTTCCAATAACCAAGATGCAATCTTAGAAAGATTACAGAGATGAACCATGAAAACAATTTAATTTGATAAACTATGAAACAAAAAACCTTCCTTGCGGAAGGTCTGGTCCATAGATGACAAGCAGAGAAACTACTAATTTAGTTGAACCATGATCACGATCTCGGAACCATTCAGTCAAGAGAACACCAAGAACAACTATCTACCCTGAACACTGTATGCCAATTCTTCCGCATTTCACAGTTCTTGTATGCCAGAATAGATCAAAGGTGCCATATGTATTTGACCAATTTCTTTTTCCATGTGTGTATATATAGTACCACCTGTTTCAAGCAGTAAATCATGTGCATATTGCTAGCAAGGAGGCATCATCAACCTGTGGAAAGCCGCCTGGATGGCTCCAACTGTCCAGCTAGTTGGATGGCAGTTGAATTGACCAACTTTATCTCCTCCCCCATTGATGGCCACTGCCGAGACCACATCACCCTCTACCACCTTGCTTTCCCATTGCATAAAACCCTGATCTACTTGGCTTTAATCCTAGGGACTGAATTCCCCTCATTTTTCCCTCTTCAGGATGCTCAACTTTCTGTCTCTTTGAGCTTTTGGAGACGAAAGAGATTTGCCGTGAACCACCAGGTCCAAATTTCACACCATTCAGAGTACCAACTGCTAGTTTTTCTCACGAGCAACAACCCTCTCTCCAAGAGGAAGGGCATCCTCCTTGGCCAGAGAGAGGCTCCTTAAAAATGCTTCGGCTTGGCATTCATCCTTCACCTCGCATAACCTAAAAAGAAATCATTACGTTAGAATCTAGATAAAACATATTTGGTATCTTCCATATTTTGTGCAAACTATTGTCTCAGTGGACCTCTAAACTGCCGTCTCAGCAGGAAATAGTGTTGGAACTTTATGTAGGTACAATGTCAAAAATCCTTTCACAAGGTTAGACATTTTAAACTATCCCTTAACATAGTTTCATAGATAATGCAAAAGAAAATTCTCTTATTGCAATTTAGGTCCCTTGTAATCTCTACCAGCAGGTGATCAGACTCTAACCTGGCCCCAGCTAAAACTGACTCAACTACAAACATGTGTAAATAGCTAAAATACTCCTGCATATCATACTGCACCGGTGGACAGTATCTGCATGTTATGAGTGGAAAGGTACATGGGCAGCACAGTGCACTTAAATGCAAGCATCCATATGCAGACAATATGTCCAACCAGCACTATGTTAATTATCACTGATTTGAACCATCCTACATTGACCTCGGAAAGAGAACAGTACTGTACAATGGCCCTCTCATCAGAAAGAAGAGATCACTTTAGATGGTTTTAACAAAAAATCTCTTGTTATAATTTAGTGACTGTCCCATGCAAAAAAAAAAAAATCTAAATTTTATATATGGATACAGTAAGAATTCTCTCCAAGTGTAAAGAAAAAAAGAATTGCACGAAATAGCTTAGGTGGGTACAAGGAAAAAAAGGAGCACATAGCTAGGTTATCGATTAATTCAATATATGCTGCCTGATTACTTCATATAAAAACATAGAACAGCTCTGTGAACAAGGCTGCACCCATGCAGGTTTTGGAAAACATTATTGCAAGAAAAAAGGATGTTTCAGTGACTCAAGCACCGATCACCCAAATAGATGTATTAGCCAAAAACCAAATAGCAACTTTAATGATGCTTAAGTATGATACCTAACTCATCTTACTAATCAATGGAATGTAAGTGCAGTTTGATCATGTTCTTGATTTGTTTGTAAATTGTGAGAAAAGAAAATGGCATAGTTTAGTGATGAAACTAAGACTATAACAGTTCCAACTTTGTTTAAATATTCAATTGTGCCACAAAACTGTCAAAGAATGGCGCACATTGAAGTACCCAATACCATTATGTCATATAAGTAAAAACGACGTTATAACCATAAAGAATCCCAGGGGTTCACCTCATGCCCTTCTACTTCTTAACTATATTCTCATCCGTGTCAAGCTCATCTTCGGATTCCTGTGAAGCTATTGAAGCGCATCAGAATCACTGGTCCCCTGCTCTTCACAATCCTCCTTTACAGGCTCAAACTGTTCCTCAATCAGGGAGGGTTGCTTCTTAGAAGATTGGGGATGAAGTGAAAGAAACTCCTGTGGCAGTTCGTCCACTTCAAAAGTCCTGAAAATTATAGGCCAATCGTGCAAAAATTAGAAGACACTACTATAAGACATGCAAAGAACAAGCATAAAAAATGGATCGCAAAACTAAAAAGAACCATTTTTAGAAAGCTAAAGAAACTTAATTTTTGCATGTTCAGTATACTGGCAATTGAAAACCATATGAGCACATAAACATAACCAATGATAAACAATATTCTAGGAGCTAAATATTTCAGTTGCATTAAACATTTGTAGATACTTGAATACTGCAATGACAAATCAGTGCCTTTGGAATCTTGGAAAGAACAGCATGTGGGATCACATGGATAATAAGGTCCAAGAAAGCTAACAGCAAGATATATTAATGATAGTTTGTGTATAAAAGTTAACAGATTATTATTCATACATGTTGGTTCATGTATTTATAGAGATGTTAAAATTGACCTTTTCTATGTTCAGGATAGTAGTTACATTGTTGTAAACATAACTTTTACCACTTCATTCTTCTTTTATAGGAAGATAATGATGTCGAATATGAACTTTCAGGTCACAATGCCATCCTCTTTATCATTTCATGCAAGTACGAACCCTTAATCAGGAGGTATAATAAGCCATGATTAAATATAAGTGGAACAGGCTAAGAATTTGATTCGATGACAAAATACTAGTAGGTGGAAGAAACAAAGATCAACCCATGAACCTAACAATTAACAGCCACCTCAACTCAATTAAGAAGCAAATCCAGTGAACTTAAATACATAATTTATGAGGTAGAAAAGATATTCAGATTGTGTGAGCCAATTGGTAGTCAGAAGACTCAGAACAGTTTTGTTCCACTCATTAAATTATTTCTTGGTTTAAATGCTTAAGAAACATTATGGACTACTATGTTTCTGCTAAGGATATTATAAATCTTTGAATATCCATCACTACTGATGAAAGTATTAGATGCAAATTGTGTTCTAGATCTTCTAGGAAAAGAAACGCTTATGGTGTTTGTCATAATGCATTCTGCATATACCTTATTCTTGAACATTGCTGCAAAATGTGCATCTCTATGGATCTCACTAGTTAATACTCTGTTTTTATTTGATTTCTTTTTTGCAACTGTGTCATCCATATTCTCCATTTCACTTTCTTCTGCAATATGCAAGCGAGCTGTAAGGAGCCTGTTTACTTTAGGCAACCTTTTCTGTATCTGCAATACCGAACAGGAATCTTTTACTAAGTGGACATATAGCAGCAGAAAAGCAAACCAAAGAAGAGAAAGTACCGTAATATGTGAGGCTTGCTTAGCCTCCATCTTCTCTTTCTTCTCTTTCTTCTGTTTCTCCCTGTATTCATCATATGCAAAAGGATCCCCAAAGCCTTTGCCTGCATGATCAAAATTACAGTGAAAAGAAGGCATCAGCAGGAATGAAATTAGTGGCTACTGATTTTATAAGATTTTTCTGAAAGAAAAAGTCCAAGAAGTTGACATATTCTTTTCTCTTAAAAGAAAAAGTCAGATGCATCATTACCTTTTTATATGGACGATGATCAATAAAGAAACCATGCATGTAGGCCCTAAAGAGATTGGTGCCAATCAAATTGGTAAGTTTCAGACATTCAAACTCTTCTGTAGTTAAAAATTTGAAATCATCATAATTGGTCGTTTGTGACCCTAACTCCATTTCTTCCTCTAAGAAAGTAGATATGACAATGGGCTTCAGCACATAAAGGCACCAAAAGAATTTGAATTTTTAGAAAATAAGCCACGATTGGTAAGCTATAACACCGTCACGTCAGTTTTTCTAGGTACAAGTATGAAGTACCACTTCGAGGCAGGGCCAAGAGCAAGTACAAAGGAGGCTGGTATCTGGCTGCTGACTAAAGCCAGTAACATCAAGCCACTCTCATTGAAAACACATATATCATTGATTGCTCCAGAGTTCGGTTCTATGCTGGTTGTATTCTCACCCTGTTAAAAAATGGTTAAGCCAAGCATGTCAGAGTTTGTTAGGAAATTTTGGAATAGTAGTGTTAGAAATTAGGATTGGGGAGGGAGGAGGGGCGGCCATGTTTGTTCATCATATCCTTATTATCCAAAAAAAGTCGGCTGCTGTCTGTTTTCCATGGTATAACAAGAGTTTATTAAAGCCTGTGTCCGACCAAAGGATGACAAGCTTGGCAAAAATATGAAAACCAAGTCAGTAATAAGTCGGCCGTGCAATAATTCAACATAATGCAGCTTCTTGTGTGTTATCATATTTCATAAAATCCAAAGCTACCTCATGTTAAAACCTCAAAGGATGAATATATGCATGTGCCAATCTTAAAATTGTGCAAACCTAGGACACCTTGTATAACAGTAATTTTGATGAGTTTCATATGAAACTTGCATGAAAAAAATTAATATAAAAATAATTCATTCATACATATTTTGGTTTTACATCAAGAACTTGATGCAGGATCATTCTATTGTATTTCTCATTCAAAATTTTGGGGTATTTTGCAAATTTCATAAATTGAAACATGACAACATCCACTATAAGCCTATATTAGCTATCAAGATTGGAATAAATTCTTCAACAATTGCTGCACCTATACACCATCAGTTCTTAATATTGAGTAATTCCTGACTCCATATCATTTAGTGAGTTAAGCCAATAACAACCTGCTTAAACCCCCTTAACCCAGAACTACACGAAGTCTTAAGATTATTATAGTTAAATCTCTCTCTACACATAAACATGTACTTATATATATTATATGTGCACATACATGAATATGAGTATGTATCTATATAATATATGTACGTCAGATCTTCAACATTCTTTATGCAGTTTAACATAAGATCAACAAGAAAGAAGTCACCTACAATATAATGCTTCACAAATATAGAAAGAAAACAAAAACTTGTAAAGAGAGGTCCAGTAAATCATCAATTCAGCTTCATTAACCAATTCATCTTCATTAACAATTATGTGGTTAGTATAAATGAGATTAAATATCCTATTCAAAATCATATATCCATCTTATCCATCATCAGTAGATCAACATTAAATACAAAACATAGTAATTCCAAAGATAACCACAAAATTTCCCTCAAGTATGTCAAGAGTCAAGACCATTAGATTCGATGACAATTTAATAGTTAATTAGGAATTAAATAATTTGAGAAAATATTCGAAGTTAAATAGGACCAGAAAGTAAATGCCATAATAACCATAATATGATTTTTTTTTCTGACGGAATAAAGAGGGAGAGAAAAGGGGGAGGGGGTCCGCCCTATAGTAACCCAAGTAGATGCCAATATATGAATAAACAATCAAGTAACAAATGATAAATGTGGGTTCAGGTTCCAGCTAAAGAATAAATCTGCTAGATCCTTAATAAAAGACACATGACAGCACAGAAAAAAATACATAAATGATTTATATCTTGCTATAAGGGCATTTTATTATTTGTAAACAATTATTGGTTGAACATATAGCATACATGTGAAACCACAAAATTCTTCAAATTATCTAATTTTGTAGCCGTTGATCAAAGTAATAATAATAAATAAGAAGCCACCTAAAAGAAAAGCTTTGATACATCAGTGTGGCCCAGAACGAATTCCCATAGGCACCAGGAGCTAGGAAATGCCAGCTCAAGAGAGTAAGCCTAACCACCTAAATAATAATGCAGCTGCTAGCTACAGTTGGTCCAGATTACTGCAAGGAAGATGATTAACATATCGTGATTTAACCTCCTTCCAAAGGAAGCACAAAGATTTTATCTCCTTCCAATATTAAAAAATTAACAAGTCACCAAAACATAAGCTTCGTGAGGTTTACTTTAGAATATCTTTTGTAATATTATTATCATACTCAATTGTTCTCCTTCCTAGGTTTTAACATGTTTGTCAGTTTTAGGTGGAATATAAAAGCAACCCTCTATATGTTTTCCCAACTTTTCTGCCAGAACATAAATAAGATACCATTATACAGACGAATATTAAATTTAAAACTTTAATCCAAACATGAGATATCATTACATATGCAAGATGATTACAAACACCAAATCACAATGTGTGGAGCCATCTATAGAGCACTCAATTAACAAAATAAAAATTCAAACATCTACCAATCAAACAAATCTAATGATCATCAACATCATCCATGTTCTCATCTGCTCCATCACTTGTTTTATATCCATCATCTATTCTTTCGTTTCGTCAAAATCAACTTCCTCCACTTCAACGTCTACTACCCTTGAACTTGATGCTTTTGCACTTGTCTTTAGTCTTGCTCGTCGTCTAAAGTATGACACTAGTGACCTTACTACGATACCCATGTCAAATTGTCATGTTGGAACCCATATCCCCAACCATCTCCCACGGCAGCTAGGGATGCTGGATGCAAGGAAAGGAGGAGGGGGAGAGAGGAAGGGCGAATAGAGGACAGTGGCAACGGAGAATCCACAAAGAGAAGGGTGAAAGAAGAGGGAAGAAAAGAGAGGACCTACCAGTGAGCAAAGATGATAGAGGAGGCCACCAATGGATGAATCCCTTGACCATAAATCCTAAGGCACAAGCCCTAGATCTTGAATACTTATTGCCTTGGGTCAGATCCTACTGCCAATAGCAGTAATTGGCAGACAAACACAAGGGTCATAAAGAATACTTGATAAAATAAATAAAACATATACCAGCAACATCATAGTACAAAATAGTTACCATCCAATATGGCAAAGAGACAAAGGTAAAGAAAATCAATTTTTATCAGTCTGTTGACAAACCGTGGAATCCTTAAGCTATGGTGATTTCCATATTTTGCATGCAGACACACGGAACGATCGACACACGAAAAAGCTATTTTCTGTTCAAAATTTCCTATTACTTCATGCAGAAATATTTAACAATAAAGATGAAAACAACAAAATATATCATATGGAACCAATCTAATAGCTGCATGCAGAGAACAGGAACTACGACTAAGTAGTCGAATCCATCTTATGAAACCAACCAACAGACACTGAGAAAAGCATTATAAGAAGAGCTACAAACAACAGAAATCATCCAAATGTAACAAGTTGGTAGCAGTCTAGCTGGTAACAGAATTATATATATATATATATATATATATATATAGAGAGAGAGAGAGAGAGAGAGAGAGACCAACTGACAAATCTCTTAATATTTTATTTTAGTCCATTTGTTGTATGTTTCGGCCTTACAAAAGATATCTGTCATTTCAAACTCACAATTCAAATGGTTGACTTAGCCTATGATGAATTCTAATTTTGAACCTTAGTTGCATCACTTGGTCAGAGAAACCAAACTTACAACATATTGAACTAAGACTTTAAAAAACTATCTACTTGTTAACAACTTCAATCGATTCCAAAGCCTTCTAAATTTGAGATTTTTATAAAGGACTTCAAAATTTGGCACAGCCATCAATCGACTGACTGCTCATGTGACAGCCATTATTCAAACTCAACCTGAACTTGGAAACAACTGAGAGACAAGGTACCATAAAATATTTTCAATTATTTAAACCTTGGAACATACTCGAGTAAAAATTTATTCTGCCTACATCTGATTTAGCAACAATTAACCCAAAACTCCAAAACCAACCCAAATAATGGTCTGGAAGTCATTCTAACACAGTTGCAGTACATTGGCTCTCTGCTGGTGCAGTATGATATGTATCTTGGCTCTGAAATAAAGATCGATTTAGTAAAGAAGATAACTGACCATGCAATTAAATATAAACAATTGAAGAATCACCAAATGAAGAAGGTAAACATTTAGAAGATTAACCCCAAACAAATGCAAAATATGACCTCTCTGTTACATAGTAAAACTATACATGCCTAGAAAACCTGAGTTGTAGAGAACACATAGAAGTAAAGCGAGTAAAATACCTGAAAATTAATACTTTCTGAAACAAGGTGCCTTACAAACTTCAATGACAATTCTCTCAGCTCAAACATTTTAACTTGAGGAGAATAAATACCTAACATCAGAATTTACTGCACATAATAAGCATATAGATATCCAAACAGTGAATAAGATAAGTGTGCTACAGACCTTTATATATGTTAAATCAAGTGACATTATACAATGATGTAAAGGATGTGACAAGAATGACCTCAGACATGGATTGGGTCTAATGATCATGGACAACAAGACAGGCTGAAATGGCATTAGTCATAGTGATGCTTGTAACTCGGCAAAACAAAGGCTTTCCAATCAAAAGGTAAAACTCAAGTAAAAGAAACAAACTATTCAATTCTTCTTTGATTTTATTCACCTTATTCAACTGACAAGGATAGGTTAAAGAACAACAATCCATGTTGTCTCAACTCCCAGCTAATTTTTTTTCGTAAGATATGACAAAAAAAGTTACAATGGTCTGTTAGCTGATGCAACCCCAATCCTGGTTTATGGCTTGCAATAAAAAAAATCAACATTAATATGGATAAATAAGGCCACCAATATGTTGGGTCAGATCAACAGGAAGGTAAATCGGTATATCCAAACATTGAAGCATCTCTAATAGGCTTCATTTCTCAATCATGAACTTCAAAGTCACCTTCATAAATAATTAAATATTAGCATAACATGTTTTAAAATAGTCAGAAACACATAATGTAGAGGAAGGAGTAAGAACAAAAATAGATAACATGTTTAGACAATTCATCATGGGCATGTATGCATGTATTCAAATATGAGTGCAAAAGCACACACACATAACAAAGGCAAAACAAACAGAAATCTAAGAGAAAATATATTTATACCTAAAAGTTATCAACACGTGTTAATTTAGCTACTCATACCTGATGCAATGACATAGTCACCATCAGGAGTCACCTTTAATTTGGTAGTTGCAGTCTCAAATCTCAAATCTTGAATTAAGTCCACCCTCTGCGGGTAGTCTAATTGTTGATTTATGAAAAATCTTAATCAAATAAGCTCAGCAAATTTGCCAGACAAATATGGAAAACACGATATGACGCTTGTATAAAATAAGAATAAAGAACACATCTTTAATAATAAATCTTAAATTTGTCCAACAATGTCTTTGATGTTTATGCAATTACTAGGAATTTGTTAAATAAAAGAAAAGAAGATTTGCCTTGAGTTGAAATATAAAATGTCACATAGTAAGGTAATGAGCTGAAAATCCAACCTTGACTTGGTCAAGAAAGAAAGAGCCTTTTTACTTATTATTTGATTTCCCAAAACAGTAAAAGAGTATCAATGTCGCGATAAGTGATAAATAAGTTAAGGAGCAAAACAAAGAAAAAGGTAACATCGAAACACCTAAAATGTAATATTAAGCTATAGAAGTCAACACAGTATGAACATATATAACATGAATGGCAAATTTATATATACATCTCAGAAGTGGATGCTGGAGGGAGCAACAAGTCACATGTCAAAAGACAAGAGCTTATCATGTAGTTCTATGACGTAGCAATTAATCAATGACAGAAAATATGGTAGAGATCAATGAAGCAATTTTCACTATTCTCTCAAAATTTGTAACTAAATTTGGATTAATCTATTGTGTCCGAAGAACACAGTAGGACTCATGTTTAGAGAATTTGATAAACATAGCATGGAGCAATTGCTCAAAGTTATTCTGAGAATATAATTAATTTCATATGCTCTTCTTCACTATATATCAAAATTCACAAAAGGCGTATTTATCAGGGGATAAAAGGAAAATCTAACTCAGATGTAATCAAGGCCATTTAATTCACCAAATCAGTACAATTGGAACCATCGCTAGCCATCTTCCTTCAAACGTATTGATCCTTGCCTTAAGGGGAAACAATAGTTGTCTCTCCCAATGCATATCTCATCCTAATTTATATGTTTCATTGCTACTAACACTAGTGGCTCTATCCCTTTGTTCTCCGATTTACCCTCTGCTTCCCTCACCATCTCTTCTCCATTCTCTTGGCACCACTAATTGACACCATGTCAGTTCCTGAGGCTAAACCCAAGGCCAACTCCCCTCGTACAACAACGAGGAGTACCTCAACACCAACACAGAGAAGTGCATCAACATAGCAGAAGACAATGTACCTCAAACTAACCCATCGAGTGTTTTCGTTTACCATTGTTCCAAGATCTCCTATTTCTAAATCATACAGTAAATCTTAATACAACGGGCCACAAGTTTAGAACAAGTCGAATTGTTTCCTCTAAGAAATATAGAGGTGTTTTTGATCGGAAATTCTCTTAAGAACGCCAGCGGCAAACATACTTTCAATAGTTAAACTGCAAAGTCGGAAGCCTTCTACCAAGAAGAAGGCGAACGTAATATCAAAACGAGCGAAGGATGTAAGAGAAGAAACCTTTGTCTTTGCGAAGGGCTCTAAGCTTCTTGGGAGGAAGCCAAGTGGACACGAAGCGCTGGCCCGAGAGGGAGAAGAGGTTCACGCCATCGATGGAGGTGGAGCCGATGTTCCCTCCTCCTTTAGCCGCCATCACCGCACGAGAACCATAGGGTTTCTCTTTTCCGGAGGAGGCCCGTACAGTTTCAAGTATCCAACCGCATCGGACGCGGCCGTCGAACCGAAATATGGAACCAGATACAAGTATCGAATCGGACAGGACCGTCGAACCAAAACATTGAACCAGATAAAAGTAGCGAATCGGACTGGACCGTCGGACCAAAACATCGAACCAGATATAAGTATCGGACCGGATCGAACGGAGCCGTCGGATTCAATTAAAAGACCAAATAATGCAAACTTATTATTATGTAATCGATAAATAATTTTGACTTCCAAAATCAATAAGTACTTTTTTATCTCATGCTTTTCTCGTCTGATTGATAGATAGAAGAAAGAGTTGAGAATGTCGACCACTGTCAAAAAATTTTGACTGAGCCCAAATAATGAAATTTATACAGTGATCTCATTTTATCATTCTTCTGAAATAAACTTCTAAAAAGTTATTTAATGAATTGTATAAATATGTATATATTGTATAAAATTTCTATATTATCTAATTAATAATTCTCTTGAAATATTGCTTATTATATTAGAGTATGTCATCAACTTAACTGATTTTGCCTATGTCGTGCGGTACTCTTGCGTATTTGTCCACAAATGTTAGTCTCTTCGAAATCTCTCATAGTTCCTTATGACCTACAAAAGAGAAAATAAGTTAGAGAAAATACCTTACTCGAGATCCACAAGCAAACATTTCATGAAATACTTGATAGACAATGTAAATTGCAAATATTTTTCCCACTATTCTCTCAACGGGAACCATATAATATATTAGATATAAATCACCTACATGCAAAAAAAAAAAAAAAAAAAAAGCAAATAAGTTGATTTGTGATGAAAATAATAATTATGCTAATAATCTAAAATAAAAATGTAAAATCAAATAATTTATTAAAAATTGGGTAGACACCAAAAAAAAAAAAATGGTGTTTCCCTTATAGCCATATATTTTTTATCATTGGTCATAATATATTTCTTTTTGATGATTTATCCAATTAAAAACTACATGCTTTTATCTTTTTGAGTTTATTATAATGTTTAGATGATTCGACGTACCCACAATTTGCTTTTATCGTCGTTGTCTCTTGTTAGACTCGTCTCTTTTTCTCTTCTATTATCACTTTTATTATCCTAGTTGTGACATTATTCCCTTCCCTTAGCTATTGATCGCATATTCAAATTTTAAATTTAATTATATATTTAACATCAAATATTAAATATATAATTAATATTTATATTGAAAAATTATCATAATTTAAATAAAATTCTAAGTATGAGTTTAACGATGTTCACTTATGAGTGGAAGAGTATAAATATTGTTAGGTTTATATTATACATCTTCAACAAAGGGGCAAGACTCATGATAGTTAGATATTTATGTGAATTCAATGATATTTATATTTAAAATCAACATATATATATTTTTTCAAAGCACAAGTGGTGAAGATGAAATTCGATCCAATGATTTTGCGATAATCTATTAAAGACTTTACCATTTAAGTTAGCCAACACATTTGTTAGTATATTTTCAAGTGTGAAAATGAGTATAATAACATTCATTATTAGTGTAATTATATTAATATTATTTGTTTAAACTTCAAACTTAATAAACAAAAAAAGTGATATTTAAACAGTAAACATATGGTTTTTAATTTTTTTAATGTGATAACAAGGACATTTATATTCAGATTTAACATATATGTAGCAAGATTCTAAAATAGAGCATAGTTGTGCCACTTATGAGTACAACTATATTTTACATCAAACTTTCACAATAGAGAGACAACAAACTCATAATAGTAAATATATACTTTTCATCTTTTTATACTAATTTATTGATATTTGTATCCAATTTCAATTTATTCTTAGCATGCTATAAAAATGGGTGTACCCAATGTTAATGTATATGTAATGACATAAATGTTATCCAATCTATACAGTTTTAATTGGTTTTATGAAATGCCATGATATTCATATTTTTATTTTTAATTTATTTTTAATATGATATTATAATAAAAATGTGAAGATATTCATGTATGAGTATAATGAAGAAGAGGGGTTAGAGTTTTTTGTTTTACAAAATTAAACATATTTGGGTGACCCAAGTAATTTTAAAAAATGGGATGTTTCATAAAAAAAACCCATAAAGTGATTTTTTTGAATAAATCATTCATTTATTTTTCTTAAAATATATGATCAACAAATAAAATAAACATGAAAAAGCATATTTCGCTTTTTTTTTACATTTATTGGAAGGAAAAAGCATATTTGTTAGCAAATAACTAAAAGAAAATTCTTCATTCCCCTGTGATCGTGACCGTTCGTTTCACCGATTCGGTGTAATCTCAACCGTCAGTCTCTTCCTACCTTGGAACGCGTCGCTGCTCTTTAAGGGGAAACAGCCGCCGTCTCCCCGTCGGCCGAGATTTACATGCTCCTTTGCCGCTGTCGCCGGTGGTTATCTGCGTTCGCTCCTCGATCTTCCGTCTGTCGCCGTCGCCGCCTCTCCTCCATCTTTCCGTCGCCGCCGGTTGCCGACATGGGAAAGAGCGTCGCCCGTGGCGGTTCTTCCGAAGCTAAACCCAAGGAGAAACCCTCCCCAGTCTCATCCCACAAAGACGAGGCCTACCTTGACGCCGTCATCCAGAAGCGCGTCCACCTTTTTGAGTCCATCCAAGCCCAGCAGAAGGCGGAGCGCCTCGATCTCGACGGGGAATCCATTAGGTACCTGTTCTTTCCCTTTAGTTTAAGGTTCATTTTTTAGTTCTTGATATTTTCTAATTCTAAGGCATACTGGACATTCTTGACACGATCAACTAGAAGTCTAGAACAGTATTAATTGTTTCAACACAGTAATCGATGAGGACTGCTCAAGGGTTTAAGAAAGTAATCCAGGATTCAAGAAGGTCAACGGAAAACAATGTATTTATGCTTTATAGTTTCTATATTATAAAAAAGCATTTGTGACGATTTGCCATTGGAAGCCTTACCGGTAATTGCACTTTCTTGTTGTTACAGGGATTGTTTAACTTTTTTCATAGGAACTAAATCTAATATACTAAAAGAAGATGTCTCAAGGACACCTTTTTGATAAATAAAACTACTGAACACATTTTATATTTTTGACGGTATAAAAGTCGCTCATGATGACATGTCAATGTTTTCAGATTCTGAAGCTTCTTATACTAAAATTTGGGTTTTGCCTCTTATGCTTAACACAGTGATCATGAATTGGTTCTTCTTTGCATGTAAATTCGTTCAAACTTGTAATTTATAATACATTGCTTTGCTTTGCTATTTGTTGCTTTCTAGAATAACATTGCCTGATGGCACAATCAAAGAAGGGAAGAAGTGGCTAACGTCACCCATGGATATTGCTAAGGAGATTTCGAGTGGGTTGGCAGCAAGTGCATTAATAGCTCAAGTAAATTTTCATTTTTATCCTCACGATCATCTTTTACAGAATGTCTTTCTCATTACTTGCTTTTTCAATTTTAACCTTTTTTAATGCCCAAAGCACTCTACGGAAAGCTAAAGACAAAATACAAGTTGATTATGACACCTTGCAGTGACCTACTAACATGATCATCTTATTTCAATTTTTATTCTCTTCTTTTTGCATCAACCTACCAGCAGGATAATCTTATCTCATTATGTATTCTCTGATTTTTTAAGGCTGTGATGATAAATGTGATATTGTTTTTAGTTCTTTCCAATACCTCATTTGGGTCAATACTTTATAGCAAGGATCACTGTTTCAGATATTGAACCCATGACGGTGACTGGTATGTACCAGTTGATATCAGTGCACTAAAACACAAGAGGAATAAGAAGAAGGAGAAGAGGAAGGGGCGGTGGAGGAAAAGGAGGAGGAAGAAAGACGAAGGAAGAACACAAGGTGCTGGGGGAAGAGGAGGAAGTGGAAGGAGGAGAAAGGTAGAATAGAAAACAATAAAGAAGAGGAGGATGAGGAGGCAGAGGAGGAGGAAGAGAAAGAGGAGGAAGTGTACTCGGTGGTGGCGCACGATGGGGGGAAGCGGTAGGATGTGAAACACACAGAAGGCTCGTGTTCGGGTGAGGATGGCTCGTAAACGTGAGCCATAAAGTTTTAATTAATTTTGTTTAACGGGTCAGAGCAGATCGTCCGAACGAAGGTGGTCTGTGTACTCGTTCATGTTCACGCTTGGGGCCTGGGTCGATACATACTGTATCTGATTTCTTATATCTTCTGTCAACGTCACTTTATTTGTTTGATCATGCATCTAGTCTGGCAGGGGACATCAAGGCCTTTTGCTGAGGATTTAAATGAGACTCATGGTTCGTTATTTTATCTTGGCCACTTTTGGTCATGCTTCTTTAACCACTCCATCTGATACTTCAATTTATTAATTGCATAGCAAATTTACTACTAGCAGTGTGTTCTTTGTTTAAAGTTAATTTCTTAAATTACCGAACTAAAACATTGAGCAAGGTTTTGTTGCTAAGGAGCTTTAGACACTTTAATAAATGGGTGCCTAGGGCCTGCCTGTGGCAACTATGAGTACTAGGAATAAGTATTCTATTTGTTATCTGGAAGCTGATGTCTTAGTTATTCAACCATGCAAATCAGAGTTATATTAACATCTCTAAATGAACAAAAATCTGTTATCGTGCAATTGATGGGTGGATGACAACCTTTTACATTAAGGAAGAATGATTTCACAGAGCAGTAGAGCACAACTCTAGGCTTTACTATCAGTATCTTGGTTAATCTGCTTATTTAGTCCTTTTCCACTAGGCATTATGTTGTCTGTCCTTTCTCTGTCATGATCAGTAACATTATTTTTCCCTTAAAAAGAGTATAGGTGAGCCTATTGACTCTCCTTTCTTGTGGATAGAACTCTTCATGTTAGATTGGGATTAATTTATTCTAAGATTTTTATTGATGAATAACACAGATTCTAACCGGGGATAAAGCAACAGTCCCCTGTCTTGCCATTTGGCCATGTATTTGTGTGCAACTTTGAATA